GGTTCCTAACTTGTAAAATGCAGGTAATCGGGCTGGGCGTGGTGGCTCACGCCTGTAATCCTAGCACTCTGGGAGGCCGAGGCAGGCGGATTGCTCGAGGTCAGGAGTTCAAAACCAGCCTGAGCAAGAGCAAGACCCCGTCTCTACTATAAATAGAAAGAAATTAATTGGCCAACTGATATATATAGAAAAAATTAGCCGGGCATGATGGCACATGCCTGTAGTCCCAGCTACTCGGGAGGCTGAGGCAAGAGAATCGCTTGAGCCCAGGAGTCTGAGGTTACTGTGAGCTAGGCTGACGTCACGGCACTCACTCTAGCCTGGGCAACAAAGCGAGACTCTGTCTCAAAAAAAAAAAAAAATGCAGGTAATCGGCCTTGTCCCATAGACTGGTTGTGAGGTGTGGGTGACGCCTACTCAGAACAGAGGGTCCCCAGGGCTGGAGCGGTTTGCAGGCATCCACCCTGGGGGGAAGCAGGTCGGGGGCTCCCTGAGGCCTGGTATGGCTGCTATTTATCAACTGATGACAGATATTTTCAATCAGCTGTGCTGTGAGAATTAAATAAGACATGTGTCCCTGTGCATGAGAACACAGGCAGTCCACCCAGCCTAGAAAATGCTCCATAACGTATTAATTCCCTCCTCCTGATCCCCTCCAATCCCCCCACCGCAGCTTCCTCTGCCTCTACCACTCAGACATCTCCTTGTAATTGTGTGCTTGTCTCACGCACAGGCTCAGCAGACCGAGTTCCTTAAGGGCGTGATTTGTGCCCAAATCACTTTTATTGTCACCTAATAGGTCCTCAGAAACTATTTGTTGAATGAATAAATGAACTCTATTTATGGAGCCAGGATCCTTGTAAATTCTCACTAGGCTGCCTCTGCTTCCTGCTGGAGCTCACTCCAAACTGGACCCAGAGGAGGCGGGCGCAGAGAAACCTGGGGGCGCCACGGTGTGAAAAGGGGGACTGGGCTGTGGTCCTGGCCATCAGAGGCGACCTCTCTGGGCTGTTTCTTCCTCTATACGTGCTCGTTAGAGCAGGTCGGCGTTGAAAACTCAAATGCCCAAAGGGGCCAGGAAAATAACGTGGGGTGGAGAGCGAGACAAAGGGTGGCAGGTGGCACCTCCCTGTGTTAGAGGACGGGCATGTCCCTTGCACCGCACTGGCACCGCAGTGCCCGCTGGTCATCGCCAACTGACTCGAGACTGTGGGTCAAGTCTTGTGGCAAGATTTTCTGATTTTTCAAGAGAAGCCAGAAATCTGGATTTTTATGTGAAGTGTCCTGAAAAGGTCAAACTCCACAGGCCACTTACAGCCCGGAGGCCACCAGTTTGTGATCTGCGCACCAGCTGACCACTCGGCTTCCTTCCAGCTCTTAAATTCTGTCAGTTCAGGAGAAGTTCAGTTCAGGCTCAAAGACTTAATGTTCTTGGAAGTAACCAAGCGAAGGACCCAAAGTCCGAGCCTCGTTCCGGCTGCTGGGCCTCTGGCAACGTCCACTGGACTCCCAAACTGCAAGTTGCATGCAAGCATGTGTCCCCTGTCTGCCAGTCTCCCCTCCCCCCACCACCAGTGGGCAGAAATGGGGGGGGGCGAGGGGACAATGGTCACTGGTTCTGGGGCGTGCCAGGGTGCCACAGCTCATGTTTTGCCCCTCAAAGTGCCTGCCCTACCCAGAGACCCCCGCGTGGGGGCAAACTCCCCACCTTAACGCTGCCCCGCACAGGGGCGCCCACCGGTGATAGTCTCACCTCATAAATTCCTGTCAGAAAAGCTGTCAGGGCCTGGGAAATAAATAATGATATTTAACATTTTGTAATAACAACAATTAACCAGTAAATAATGTCCTTTAAACTGCAAACGCTGGAGTAAATTAATTCTTCTAATGAGCTGTCAGGCATGGAAGAAAAAAAAAGTCCCCCGTTCTTTGGTGCCACGCGGCTGCCGTGTGAGCAGCCGGAGAAGCTCACCTCGGGCCCTGGGAGCTCATTATGGGGACGCACGTGGCGGCGCGGGGTTCCCGGGAAGTGGCAGGGCTCGTGGTCCCACGTGGGCGCTCAGCCACCGCGCTGGGCAATCGCCCCCCACCCCCACCCCCAGTGCCCGCCCGCCCCCGCGCACCCATGGCAACACGAGCAGCACGAAGGGCATTGCAATTAGAGACACCCCCTCTCTGTGGTCGCCTGGGAGGTGCTCAGCCTTCAGGTGGCTGTGGGCAGGGAGCTGGGGACGGAGGAGAAGCCCCACAAGTCCCTAGTGTCCCTAGTCCTCGCTGGGTGACCTTGGAGATGTTTCCTGCCCTCTCTGGGCGGGGATGTCGTAAATGGAAATGTGAAGCTAATCAAACCAGATGTGATTACTTCTGAGCTCCTGAGAAGCCTGTGACCATAAAAAGACACCTAAGAGTAAGGCAGCTCTTTATGTACTGATTCGGAGTAATCTCCAAGATATATTGTCAGGTGACAAAAGCAAGGCACAGAACAGTGTGCAGTGTGTGCTACATCTTGTGTGTTAAAAATAGGACTAAAGGAAGAGAGTATGTGTCCGTATTTGCTTGTGTGTGTCTAGACAGGAAGCGCATAATGTCCCTCGGCACTGGGGAGGAGAACTGGGGGGCTAGGGCGGGAGGGAGACAGCACTGAACAGCCTCTTGTGCCCTTATTTTCTGAACCATGTGCAGGTATTACCTTTGTAAGAAATAAGTTACAGAAGACACAGCCACACACATCAGAGGTCATCTTGTCTCTCAGTAGCTTTCAGGAAGTGCAAGCCACAGGAGCCCAGGTGAACTGAGACCCCAGCCAAGCGCCCTCCCCAGAGAGAGAGCATGCTGCCTCTCTAATCACCTGTTCCGGAGACAAGCTGATGGTCAGGAAGTCCTGCCCTGCAGCTAATCCCATTCCCTCCTGCTGTAATTTAAGTTTCTCTCTTCGTGTTCTGTATTTGGGGGGAGTAAAAGGGCTGCAGAACGGGGGGTGGGGGCAGCCCCTGTATGGGAAGGAGAGCGTGGAGGGCAGTCCCCGCCCTCTGGAGCCCTGCAGGCCTGGCTTTGCATCTGCTTCTGTGACTTGCTGGCTGTGTGGTATATTGTATGTCACTCTCTGCTGCAGGGTGTCAGTGGTCTGAGGTCCCTGCCTCCCTCAGGGAGGATATAAGATGCTGAGCGTGATGAACGGGCATCCACCTCCCACAAGAGCAGGCAGGCCCATTGCTCCCCAGGATGGACAGTCCTGGGCCATCTGGGCTCCAGATCTATGCCTTCCCAGCCACAATGCCCAGCCCCACCTCCCACCCCAGAGCAGATGCATATGGGGCCTGCCTGCGGCCAGGGGCAGCTTTGCCCATTTGGCACCTCAATTGTCATGCTCTGAATCCAGAACTGGCTCAAGATAGCTGGTAGCTGAGAGACAGTGTGGGAAACAGAAAATGACCCAGGCCCAGGGCTTAGGGGAAGCACTTGAGGGGCTGCCATGGGGCTGGGCTAAGAGAGGGGTTCAAGTAGGAGGGCTCCCAGCCCCTGGCGCCATCTGATAGACTCCCTGTTTATCTGCTTTGTACCCTTGCCTTCCTCATAAGGTGTCTTCTGATTAAAGAGTTTCTAGCTAAAACATATTTGAAAGGCCTTGACCTTGGCCATTCATATATAGGGACCCAAAGCATGGGGTCCCAGAGAGCAGGGCCAAGAGAGAAAGAGCACATTGAGCACCTGCTCCACGCCAGGCACTTACACACAATGTTCCATTTTAATCCTCACGACCCGTGCTTTAGGTAATATTATCCTTGCTATGTAGAAGGATGAGGGCAGTTCCAAGACTGGCCCAGGTATATTCAACTAATACGTGGTTGGACCCACGTCTGCTGACTCCAAAGCCACATGTCCCAACATGCTGCTGCCTGTCCCAGCCCTGCTTCTCATTATCTTGATACAGTAATGGGGCAGAGGTGGGGACAAGTGTGCAGAGCTGGGGTGTGGGAAGGTGGCTGGCTCAGACTCCTGACCTCTCATCTCAGCACCCTCAACTCAGCACCCAAAGCATCAGGGTGAAAGTTCAGGGAACAATTGCTGATTGTGAGAATCAGATTGTGAGAATCTGATGTCACCTTTAGGAGGGTGTGGTAGCTAAAGCTTAGGCACGGGAGTCTAATGGGCATGGGTTCAAATCCAGGCTCTACCACTTCCAAGCTGTGTTACTCAGGACAAGTTACTTAACCTCTCTGAGCTTTGTTTTCCTCCTCTGCAAAATGCACATAATTGCTACCTATCTCTCTGGGTTGTTATGAGGGTTAAGAAGATGATGTGTAAAGTATTTAGCATAGTGCCTGCATATAAACACCCAATAAAGGACTATACCTAATGAGGTTTTTGTTACCCTGCTAGACAAACTCAATCTCTAAGACCAAGAAGGGCAGTTGTCCTGGTGGCTGAGATAGGCAGCCTACCTCTGCAACTCCCTGATTTGGGAGGCAGCCCAGAAAGGCCTCCAGGCTTGGTTTTTGCAAAGGGCAGCGGAAAATCGAAGCTGAAGCCAGCAAAACAAAGATCCTAGCAGTGGATCTGAGTCAGCTCCTTCTGGGTCTGGGGGTTTAAGAGCCTTCCTTAAAGCCACACAGCTTCCTCGTCACCCTGTCCTCCATGCAGCTTCCCCATCCCCTTGGCCTGAAACCTCTGAGGGTCCTGGGCACCTGTGTGCAGGGAGCACGAGCTGGGAAAAAGGGGTGCTCCAGTGAGCAGAGGAAGCTGGGTCTCAGCCACGCGGAAATTAAAGCCAGCTTGCCCAGCGCTGAGTTACCATGTCGCCTAAAATCAGATTGATTTCTTGGGCTTGTTGTGACGGCAGTGTTGAAATTGATTCGTCTGGATGGCGGGGAGTTTATCTATTCGGAGCTGTCTGTCATTGATCTGAATAAGCTTCTAAAATAGCCCAAATACCTGGCCAGGGCGAGGTCCCCACGAACCCGGCTCAATATTAATTATAATAATGAACAGGCATGAGGAGGGTTGGTTCATTGCCTGCCCTGCAGGGCTGGCATCTGTGAGGTTTGGTGTTTAATATTCATTTCGAATCAACAATGTTCAAAGAGCTGGTGGACACTCCTGAGCTGAGAGAAGTTTGCAGGGCAGTGATGTTCTCTCCTTCCATGGGACTGAGATGGAACCAGCGCTGCTGAAACAGGAAAGGTTTAGGTCAGACCTCAATAAGGACTTCCCAATGACCAAAAGTGGATGGATATAGAATATCTGATTTACTTATTAACCTGGACAAGTTACTTCTCCTCTCTGAATCTGCTTCCTTGTCTGTAAAGGAGGGATTATAATACTTCTCAGAGCTGCTGCCACCGCTGCACCTGACCAAAAAACAAGACAAAACAAAACAACAAAACTGGAAGGCTCTTCTGAGCTGCCATTTTCTGGTTCAGGGAGTGGCAGAGGGGAACTATTCGGGTGACAACACACCTGCCCTTCTCAGCCTTGGCACAGAGTAAGCATTCAACCAATGAAGCTATTATAATAATTATCGATTCAATGAATATTTATTGGGCACCTCTGTATATGCCTGGTCCTGAGACAAAACTACTGGACAAGCCATGATATCCTGACTTTGAGAAGATGAAAGCCGGGGTTACTCTGAGAATTGGGATATCCCCTCCCTGAGGCTCTCAGGAATAAGGGTGAGCCCTAGTTCTGGGAGACAGCTTGGAAGGTGCTCATGCAGGCAGGCAGATGGACGTTGAGGACCTCGTAGGGTGGCTGCAGGTCTGGGCCAGTGTAACCCAGCAGTAGAAATCGGTCAACATGGACCCCTCCAGAATATTGTTTTTCCAGGAAAAAGAAGATGCTGCCCTCAACAGATCTTGCAGAAATGTGGTCAGACTTGAGGTTCAAGTCTGCAAGAAGCAAAGAATAAACCAGCTGACCTCTGAAGACACCAGCTGAAACTGCAGCAAGAAACATGGAGGTTAAACCCACACAAGGACTTCCCTGCTGGGGTTTGGAAGGCAGTGAAGGAGACCAGGAATGGAGAGATTCTTGTGTCTGTCCGGGAGAGTGATTGCTGCCTTCCTGGTGACATTCCTTCCTCTGTTCCTACAAAGCTCTCCTCTCTCCTCCAGCCCGGCCGCTGGCAGAGACCCCTGTGGCCACCCTTAAGAGAAACATCAGAAGAAAGTTAATAGCGAAACGCTCTGGCGGATCTAATTGATTTTTTTCCTATTGGTTCCCTAATATAGGCAACACTGTTCCTGCCGCTTTTCTGGGCTGGAGATTATGTCATAAATAAAGAGATTTGCTCCCTATTTCCATGTGCTTATCTTTAATAAGTTAAGAACTCAACAAGCTTTAGGAGGACTTGAAATAAGCAAGAGATCCAGTGGTGGCTTCCGCTGCGGCGGGGGTGGCAGCCAAGGCTTTATTTCAGTTAAGGGGGAGGCAGACGGCTGAGGCAGGTGGGGGGAGAATTTGCATTCTTTGGGCTGCATTGGAGCCAGGCTCCCCTGGAGGAAGAAGAAGAGAGGGGCAGGTGGGAGAGCTGGAAGAGGAAGCTCATGGTGGCAGAAATGGCAAAATGGATGGACAGGGCCCACGGGGCTGGGGTTGGTGTGGGAGTTAGGAGTGTAGGTTCTAGGGTCAGGTTGCCTGGGTTCAAATCCCAGCTCCAGCATTGCTTATTGGCTGTGTGTCCTTGGGTGAATTACTTAGCCTCTCTGTTTCCTCTTTTTTTTTTTTTTTTTTTTTGAGACAGAGTCTCACTCTGTTGCCCAGGCTAGAGTGAGTACTGTGGCACCAGCCTAGCTCACAGCAACCTTAAACTCCCGGGCTCAAGCGAACCTACTGCCTCAGCCTCCCGTGTAGCTGGGACTACAGTCATGCGCCACCATGCCGAGCTAATTTTTTCTATATATATTAGTTGGCCAATTAATTTCTTTCTCTTTATAGTAGAGACGGGGTCTCGCTCTTGCTCAGGCTGGTTTTGAACTCCTGACCCTGAGCGATCCACACGTCTCGTCCTCCCAGAGTGCTAGGATTACAGGCGTGAGCCACCGCGCCCGGCCATGTTTCCTCATTTTAAAAACGGATAACAGTAATATCTGTCTACTAGGTTGTTGTAAGGAACAAGATGTCAAGTGCCTAGAATGGAGCCTGGCACAGGATATGCACAGAATATACGTTAGCCAGTATATTATTAAGATCTTCTAACTCAACCCACTTAACTGTTGCTGAGCCTCTGCCATGGGTCAGACCCCGGCCATGACAAGTGAGACACGGCTCACTCTGGCTTCAAGGACTCCTGACTTCAGGGAGCTCCCAGCCCCTGGGACTGGTATGAGCTGGCAGCACTACTGGGTGTCTGCCCTGGGGGCATCTAGCAAGGGAGTGGTGACCCCTTTCCTGGGGAGACTGCCATCCTGTGGCCATGTCTTGAGGTTCGCCCACTCTCCAGTATGGGACACGCGACAGATTAACTCACATTTCCTGAAAGCTGACTGTGAACAGAAACTGTGTGGCACGTGCAGAAACAGCCTCACTTAAGACTGAACACTTTTACATAAAATAAGGGAGTGAAAAAAAAAAAGACTGAACATAATTGTCACTGTCTGCTGTGCACCTAACATGTGCCGAGCCATGCTATTTTTTTTTATTTTTTTTAGAGACAGGGTCTTGTTCTGTCATCCAGGCTGGGGCACAGTGGCCAGATCATAGCTCACTGCAGCCTAGAACTCCTGGCTTCAAGCAATCCTCCCACCTCAGCCTCCAAAAGTGCTGGGATTACAGGCGTGAGCCACCGTGTCCAGCCTAACCGTGCTATTTATTTGCAGTGTCTCATTTAGTCCTAAGCAACCCTATGAAGACAATACTATTACTATCTCCCATTTTACAGTTAAGGAAACTGAGGCACAGAGCGGTATGGTGATTTGCTCAAAGGCTTCCAGCTGGTAAGTAGCAGAGCTAGGATTTGAATCCAGGTCCACTGATTTCCTCTGCTCTAAACACCACCCCCTATTCCTCAGCCTGTGCTTACAGTCACAAGTATTAATAAAGCACATTGAGTATGTAAGACTCTAGGCTAAGGGCTAAGGGGCTAGAAAAACAAATAAAATGAGGGTTATTGAGCACCTACCAGGTGCCAAGCAGGTTATCTCACTGAATATTTTTTGGAAAAGCAAGCGACATCATTTTCCTTTTATGCTTAAAGAAGTGAAGAAGTCTCTGAAACTTGCCCAAGGTGAGCATTAGGCTGGGAAGATTTGAACTCCGGCCTGAACTCCTGGACACTGTTCAGGGTGCCCCTCAGCCTCTTGGGGAGCAGTCCCTCTCTCTAGCCAGCCTTGCTCTTGCAAACAACAACGAATACGGCCTCCCTGCAGATGGGCTGAGGAGCAACACCCTCCTCTCCCCTTAGGCCCGGGTGGCCTTCCCCTGTCCCTGCAGGAGGTGATCTCCATCTCAGGCCTCCATTTCAAATTCCTCCTCTGTCCTCCAGGCCATTGTTTGGACCTACAGATTCTGTTGCTTTAAGGAATAGTGACCTCACAATCAGTTGCCATAGAGACCATTGTGATGTCACAAGCAGAGGACAAGTAGTTCAAGGAGGAGTAGGAGTGGGAATGCATGGATGGAACTGAAAGACATTGGGGATTTCTGTCCTATTTTCATGCCCAGAAAAGGAAGTGGCTAGAAGTGTAACTGAGGCTCGGTTCTGACGTCTGCAGGAGAACTGATCACGTTCTGTCAGTTCTCCTGGGTTCTCCCACGACCGCAAATGCCTCTGAGACCCAAAGGAAGGGGCAGTGGAAAGGGACATCAGAAACACTCCCCATCACTTTGGGGCTGTAAGAAGGGGGCTATTTTTGTAACAGGAAGGAAGAGAAGTAGATGCCAGGAGGAGTTGTGTGGCTGGAAGAGCTCCCTGGAGGGAATGATGGACCCTTGCCTCAAGAAGCTTGAACCACGGGAGACCCAGCCTCTAGGGCTTCCAGAGCCTTGTTTAAGTACCTTGTAGACACGGACATGCTGCATTACAGTGTGTGGAGACTCTGTCTCCCCTCCCTGATCTGGGCGCTCCTTGAGGGCTCTGCCCCTCCAGCAGCCAGCTCAGGTCCTGGCATACACATGGTACTCAATAAATGTTCCTTCATTCAGTAAATGAATTAGTGAGTGGGTGATGAATGAACTGGGTGGGTGGTTGGGTAAAGGATGAATGAATAGATGGACAGATAGGTGGGCAGGGGGGAGCCCAGAGATCACGTACAACCCCCTAAGCTTTGGAGCTCTACACCTGCCTACCTCTCTAGCTACAGCCCACAGCACACTTCTTATTCCCTGCCATGCAGCCACACTAACCATTTCTTAGTCCTGCCTACCCACGCACATGCTGTTCCCTCTGCACGAATGCACTTCCTTTCCTCTTCAATCAAATAACTGATGCTCATCTCGCTGTAGCCCCTTGATGCCCACCTGCTGGGCAGCCTACAGGATGCAACTGAGCCCTTCTCCCTCTTTCTCAGGAGCTCACCCCACCTGGTGACCCACTCCCTCATCACATGGCCATCAACCTGGCACCAGGTCCCCAGCCCCAGAGCAGCACCATAAACCCAGTGTCTCTGGACAGATGTATTTTATGGAAGTTCAAGCACTAGAAATATTGAGTTCAGGGAATTTTATTTCTAGAGCCCTCTATATTTCTCTGGGAGTCTCGCCTGTCTTTGTTCCCTCCCTCTCTTGGTTATTATCATTGGACACTTTCCAAGCCAAGCTGCCTTCATTGGCTGCAGAGATGAAGGCTCCCAGCATCCTCCCATGGCATCTCTGGGTCTGGTGAAGGTGACCTTGGGGGACCTTTTCTTCTTCTTTAGCATAACTCTGCAGGTGGTCACACTGTCTAGGCAGCCTTGGCTTTTAGGAGCTGGCTTCACTAAGAGACTCTCCAAGTGTCAGGGAACACTGAGGGGGGTAGTGACAGCAGAGGCCTCATGCCCCCCAAGTTGGGGAAGGCTATGCTTGGAGTAAGCCCTGGGGTACAGAGGGGAGGGAGAAGGCCAGCTGTTCTCTTTCCTACACTGTGCCAACCTAGCCTGACACCAAATTAATAACATTCAAATGAGATGCAAAGCATTCTGCAAATCCAGAGGAGAAGGCCCTTCTTACCAGGGCCTTTGAGCTGTTGAAAGGCCAGTGCCTTGAGTCCTTTGTGGAGGACCCTACAGCCTCCCTTCAACTTCATCCCTGCACCTTCAGCAGCAGCTGATGTGAAGAATCCCATGAGACTGGCACGGGCGCTCACTATGGCCTTACCTCCCGGGCACTCAGAGCCTCCTCCATTCTGAAATGATGCAGAGGCAGCCACGGAAGGTAGCACAACCTCCCTCTGGATGCCAAAATTCCAGTTCTCCACTTATCAACAGTGTATGCAAAGCAGATGCAGGGCTTTTTGCATCTATTTAACTGTCCATTAAAACAGCCCCACGCCCATCACCTCTGCACAGGCCCAGGCTTCCAAATCGCCCACCCCTTGCTGCCTGCAAGCACCATGTGGTTCCTGCGCCTGGTAATTGCTGTGGTGTTTGTTGAGCTGTATTTGCATTTGATTGTCATTTAACTTTCCATCTTTCTCCTTCATCAAACCAGAGATTGGGCTTTTGCAATTGATTATTCATTTTATTTCTAGCCCCTTGGTGGTTCTCAAAGGGTTTTCTTTATTAGTGCCACAAACTTGAACCCTGGGACTTCTCCCACCATGTGGAGGGGGAAGGCCTCCTCCCACCCATCCCAGAGCTCCTATGTGAAAATGAGCTAGCGAACACAGTGGATCTTAAGTCCTATCCCCAGTCTCCCTGTTCCAGCACCTGCCTCATTTCTGCCCAGCCGGTGGCATTAAACATTTATGGAGCTGTGGAGGATCAAAGGCCTTGGCTGGGGGTGGTGGGCAGGCTGGAGGCCTCCGTTTGGAGATAGAAAGTAGCTCACATCAAACCACTTTCTGCTGCTGTCTCCATCTTCCCTGGGCTCTTGCTGCAGCTGGTCCGATCCTCCTCCCGGAGTGGGAGCAAATGCCTAGGAGCCCGGACTCTCCTTTAATCCGAGCAGGGCCCTCCTCCTGCCCCTAAATCAAAGGGCTGACTTTGAGTAATCCAGGGAGCCCAGCTGGAGCCCTGGCATCCCTGACTGCTCCAGACCGCAAGGTCCCAGAGCCTGCTCCAAGAAGCGGGTTGAGGCAAGCAGGCAGCTCTGTGTCCTTGGGAGTCTCTGGAGTGAGGTGACATCCCCTGCCCCTCCTTCCCTGAAACCCCAGAACCCTTTTGGCGCCACAGAAGATGTATCTCGGGTTTGAAAGCTGTCTTGGAGGAGAGTAATTTTCTCCTCCTCTCGCTCAGAAAGCAAGTGTCATCCCAGCAGAGACTTCAAAATGAGTCACCAATGTGCCTGTGATCCTGCAAATTGATGGGCTCTTTGGAAGTGGGGAAGTGAAGCTGGCTTCTCCAGGGATGGCCAGGGCTGAATGTCGGGCTTTGGCTGGGCAGGGGCTGCCAGGGTCTCTGGGATTGGAGAGCCCCTTCTTCCCTGTCTCTGGCTCTCGTCCTAATTCAGCCATTGTATCTCACCCCCACCCCCACCCCCACCTTCTGAGTCAGCAGTAAACCCTGCAGTTCCTATCACTTTCCACGTGCTGTAGTGCTTGAAAACCCACCTTAATGATTCCAGACTCCCCGATTTTGTGCAAATATCTTTGTGACAAGATAACTTCTTCAGTGTAGCCACCAAGGATATCCTTAGGCTCAGATGACCACAACGCTTCTCACAGCCAAGCCCCAGGCAACTCCAGCCTTTCCTCCTACTTCCTGGGGGGGGGGGATTATGCTCCCTACCCCCAACCAGTCTTCTCACTGACCCCAGACTATCTTAGTTCTCACCACTTTGCCTCTGCATAAGCCATGCCTGCCACATTGGTTGGGCTCCTCTCTCTCTCCACTGAACACAAAACATATTTGAGGGCCACGTGTAGTGGCTCATACCTATAATCTTAGCATTTGGGGGGCCAAGGTGGGAGGATGACTTGAGGCCAGGAGTTCGAGACCAGCCTGAGCTACACAGAGAGAAACCCCATCTCTATGAAATATATATTTAAAAAATTAGCTGGACGTCGTGGCATGTGCCTGTAGTCCCAGTTACTTGGGAGGCTGAGGCAGGAAGATTACTTGAGCCTAGGAGTTTGAGGTTGCAGTGAGAGATGATGACACAAGTGCACTCTAGCCCAGGAAACAGAGTGAGACCCTGTCTCAAAAAAAAATTTTTTTTTCGACTTATTTTCAGCCATCTGCTGTGTGAAACCTTCAGTGATCTTGTCTCATGTCCAGAATAAGCAATTGTCCTCTCCCCATTATCTCACAGCATTCATTTGGACACTCCCCACCCCCATCACTTACACACAAATATTTATTGAGCATCTACTATGTGCCGACCACTGGGCTAGGTAGTGGGTAATGACACAGACATGGTCTGTGCCTTCACAGAATTGACAACTAGTTGAGAAGACAGACAATTAAGTCAGCAATTACATAGAAAGGGGAAGCCCAGGGTCCTCTTGGAGCAAAAAGGCTGGGTGGGGGACACAGAGAACAGGAGAAATGAGACCAGTGAGGGGAGCCTTGCAAGTCCCCCAAGGATGCCACTTTCAAATATGTGTTTGAATTAAGTACACTCTAAGCCTATAAGCCCTATAGACAGCTGAATGTCCCCTTGGACATTTTATTGTCCTCAATTTGTGGGTGATGCCGAGGTCTGGGCACAATAGGCCCCTCGGAGATATGACAGAGGGTGCTTGACAGAAACTCTACTGCTTCCCAGTTTGGCCAGGCTCTGCCTCAATCTAACTGGCAACCCACTGCATAGAGGCCATGTTGACCATCCTTAGGAGGGAGGGACAGCACAGGTGCATTATTAGTCCCATTGTGCAGTACCAGCCCCCTCTCTGAGCTCAGGGAAGAGTGCTGTATTCTGGGACTTGTCCTGAATGTCTAGGGAGGGTCATGTGGCAAGATCCTGGATGGGTAGTGCCCTTCAAGAAGCCTAGTTGCCAGGAGAGTCAGACAAGACTGCCACCAGCCTCCATGTCCCCATGAATCATCCTGGCACACAGGTTTATCCCTAAGTCATGACTCACCCCCCTTTACCCAAGCTGCCTAGTCCTGAGGGGCCCAAGGACACTAGAAGAGCTCAGGGATACTTTCAAGGAGGAAAGGAGGAATCTCATGACACTTGCCAGTATTCCCCAAACTTCCAGCAGCCACAGAACCTTCTACCTTGTGTCTTTTCCCTCCTCAGTTGGCAACCATCCTTCTCCTTCCCCTCTGCGTCTTGTTTCCTGGCTTCCTCTCCTCACCTCTGGTTCTTTCATCAATGCCTCCCGCTTTCTGCCATCCTTCTGCCACTGCCCTCTTTTTCCTCAGCTTCTCAACATGACTGTCCAGAAATCCCAGCCTCTAATTCCACACGCCACCTGCCTGCTGCCTGGGATTCTGTACAGCAGTCAAGGTGGCCCCCCAGAGCCCCCAGCAAGAGGACCTGGAAGGAATCCAATGAGTGTAGCTGGAAGACTCTGGGGCTCAAAAGGATCCAAAGGCTCCATGACAAATTTAGCTTAAGGGCAGAAATTTTGCCACCTGCTTCCAGGATGAGGTCAGGAAGGGCATTGGACAATGACTAGGGTCTGGGCTTTGGGGAGGAGCCAAGTTCATGTGTAAAGAAGTAAACACAAAGCTGCCCTTCTCCCAGGGGGGCAAAGGGAGTTCAGCCTTCTTCTTCCTCTACAGGGAATAAATAATAACATCAGCCACAGGGTCATGTTCCATTGTGCCTGTTGAAGCTCTTCAAGTGAGCTCATCCATGGATCCCTTGGCCTAAAGAGCAGCCCAGGGATGGCACAGCTGTGACTGCCCGCTTGCTCCCTTGTGACTCATCGGGGCTCTTTAGCCCAAGCAGGGCCCTGGAAGCATATTCTTCCATGCCTTCCATTGCACAGCCTCCCTGGCTACTCTCCTGGGTGTCCTGCAAATCTCTAAAATGGCCCCAGGGAACCCTCCCTCATGCCAGCCCCATTTTCTCCACCAGTTCCAGGAAAATGGACAGGGATTAGCATGCAGGGTCTGTGCTGACTGTCACTGTGGCTTCTCTGGTCCAGCAGAGGGGCCAAGGCAAGGTCCTGGAGATACAGGGCTGCATGGGGACCCAGGACGCTACCTTCAGCTGCCCACAGCTTGGCCTGGGTTGCCTCCTGCCAAGTGAAGAATGTCTCCCCAGGACACAAGTGCCACTGGCTTTTAACTATAATATCAGGATAATTAAGCTTTTCTGTGAGCACAGTTTGCTGCTGATGCAGCTGCCTGGAGCTCTGGCATTTATTGAGCACAAAGTAATAATTTATTGTCCTTTGTACGCTCAAAAGCCATCTTCATTATCGGCCCAGGACGGAGCTGCCACAAGGGCACCCGAGCTTCCCAGCTGCCTCACTCTCCATGTCTTCCCAGGTCACCCTTGGCGCCCTCAGGTACCAGGATGGGGTGGAGAGAGATGGGGAGAGGGTTGCTCGCTGTCATGAAGAATCGGGATAGAACCCACCTCCTTGGCAAGCTGCTAACCGGGGAGAGGGTGGCAGGCTTTGGCTGGGCGTGGGCAGCGCGGAAGGGCGGGGGCCGTGTGCCCACATTAGTAGGGCAGTCCTTTCCCTGAGCTGGCGGTGGCGCGGGAGTCCGTGCTCCTGCCGCTGGGTCTCTGCGCCTTTGCTTGAGACTTTACGGTAAGCCGCTCCTCCCGCGCCCCCGCCCCCAGCCCCGCGCGGCGATCCCCGGCGCCGACGCCAGGCGCTGGCCGTGGTGCTGATTCTGTCAGGCTCTGGCGGCGGTGGTGGCGGCAGTGGCCCCGCTCGCTCTGTCCGGCTGGACCCGGCTCTGCACCTCCCCAGCGCTCACGCCCCGCCGACCCTCGCGCCCTCCCGCCGCGGCCCCGGCCCGGGGCGCGGCTGCAACCAGCACCATGCGCCCGGCATCCCTGCTTCTCCTGCCCGCGCTGCTGGCGCTCCTGGCTCACGGTAAGGGACCCCGGCGTCCGGCGGCAGGACAGGGGCGGGAGCGGGGTCCTAGCGGTGGGAAAGGGGGACCCGGTGCCCGGCTCCACGCGTCCGGCTGCCCAGCCCAAGCATCGCGCCCCGCCGGCTGCGCTGCCCCCGGCGCCGGCCGAGCCGGGCGGGGCGCGGGCTTCGCGGGCGGGAAGCTGCCGCGGCTCCCGCCATCCGCGCCCGGCCGAGACCTCGCCTTTAATCATCTCCCCAGATCTAATGGGATTTCTCTGCTGCAATTCAACGCGCCACCCGCTCCCCACACACACGCGCTTGCCTGCGCGCTGCCTCGCCACACTCCGGGCGTCTAGGGGCGCCGGGGCGCGTGCCGGGGGGCGCGGGGCGGCGAGTCGGGACGGTCTGGCTGGCGGCTCGCGGTCCCGCCTCGCCTGCCGCCCGCCAAACTTCGCTCGACTTTGCCGCCGGTTCGGGGGCCTCTCACGTCCTCACTGCGGAGGGACGGAGCCAGATGGCGGCTAGACCCCGGGTTGGGACATCGCTCACCTCCGTCCGTCTTGGCGCTGCCACGCCAGAGCCGAAACCTAGAACACAATTCTGGGGAGAAACTCGCGGGGGCCCCGGCCCCCTATCCGGCTCCTCTCTGTGCTCTGGGCTGCAGCAGATGTGGTCCTGGGATAGAGACTCTGTCCTCCTCGAAGTCCTTTCCTTGTACACACACACCCCACACGCCTGAATCTCTGCCTCCCTCTGGGCCTGCCGTCCTGCCTGCCCCCTTCCACCCCATGGCGGCAGACTGGTAGAGGGAAGATAAGTCCCCCACCCAGCGGCCGCCAGCCTCCCCTCTCGGAGTCGGGTCCCCAACTTCATCGGTCTAGGGTCGAGGGAAGCTTGGCCATGCAGTGGGCAGCAAGGGAGTGCTGGGTAGAGGATGAGGGTTTTGTGCCCTGGAGAAGGAGGGTTTCTTCTGGACCTGCCGTCCCAGCTCAAACAAGCTTTCAATGAAGCTACTGACGCCCGGGTCCTGCTCTTGCTGCAGCCAGTGGCTCGTGGGGTCAGCGGCACCGCGCTGGGAGTTGGGACCTGCCCTCCCTTCCCGTATGGTTCAACGCTGATGTGGAGAGAGGAGAAGGTGGAGTTTCTAACCTCTGAGTTCAATCTTTCCAGGCCTGGTCAGAGGTCAGGGCAGAACCGCGGAGGCCAGACTGGGCCCCTGGATGTCAGTTTTCTTCTGTGGCCCCAGGGATGCAGAAGCCCCCTGTCTAAGCCTCTAGACTCGGACACAGCCCGTGTTCTCGCCCTGCCACCTGGCTGCCCGGGGCTCCTCCAGCAGCCCGGGGAACTTGGAACCGTGTGTTCATGTTGGGGTCGGGGGAAGAGCCCCACAAGCCCCACCCCTGCAACTGGGATGGGGAAGGAGTAGCCTGCATCTTGGCCCAGCATGCCCCTAGGAGTTCAGGACCGGTCTTGGTCTGACATCCTGTCGCTGGACAGCTCCCCCCGGGGCACAGAGCCTGTGTATGTCCCCTGGCATGGAGTCTGTGGGCTGCTGTGAGGGTTCATGGGTCTAAGTGAGTATAATCAGGTTCCTGCGTGTCTGGAGCAGCAGGTCCCAGTGTGTCTGAGCTCCAGAAGGTCTGAATGTTGAGTGAGGCGCAGCACCCAACGGGTGTGAGCCCACTAGTGTGCGGTGCAGGCTTGGCCAGAGAGCTCCCTGCAGGGCTGGAGTGAGACTGGGTATCCAGGAGGAAGGCCGGTGTGGCTGGGAGGCTGACAAGCCCCACCGGGAGTGTGAGTATGAGTGTTGGGAGGAATCTGCTCACTCTAAAGCTGCGAGTATGGGTGTCCCTAGCCAGTGTCCCTTCCTGATCCACTGGGATCTCTAGTGCCCGTGGGGCCGCTTGCCCAAGGAGTATGTGGGTAGGAGTCTGACTGTGGAAGAAGACCTTTATTTTCGCTCCCCAAGGGAGATGAGGAAGCGGCCCCTAACTACCAAAGCTGAGGGTGAGAGGGAGCTGGGTGGCCTGGGGGCCCCTCCCTCCTCCGCGGGGCTGCAGGGCCCAGTCACTGGGATACTGAGTGGTCCCACTGGGGAGCAGTGCCTTGTCTCGGGGCTCCTGGGCACCTCCGCTGTACGGAGGCGACCCTCAAGGAACAAAGGCCTCAGGCTGTGAACCTCTGCACCAGAGTCGAGTGTCCCTCAGCCTCCCAGCCTAGCGGCCTCCAGAGGAGGCCCTCCGAGCTTTGCTCTTAGGCGGGACGCAGCCCGCAGGATGCAGCCAGGCGCAGCCCAGAAGCCGCAGGAGGCCGGGTAGGCGGCGGCTGCGGAGGTAGGGCGCGATATCGCAGGGCTGGGGCCCAACCCTTCAGGCTCCATCCCCTGTCCCCTCCTGCAGCCTCCAGGGGCAACTGGCCTCAGGCCTGAGGGGTGCTGTGGGCCAACGGGTGTCCTCCCCACCTGTGGGCGGTTCCTGGGCGATCCTGCCACAGTGGGGGAAGGCGGCGGTGTGGGAGGGGCTGCGCGTGCCTGGGCCTGCTGTGTCAGTTTAATGATTTTTAATGAGCAATTACCTTTAGTCATTCTCCTAATTTCTGAATATCAATAAAGTTAATTAAACTCTGCGTGTGTGAATGTGGCCTGGGGAGATTGTGAAGGTGGAAGCAGCTGAGACTGGGGTGAGGTTGGGTCTCCCCAGGAGGAGGCTGCCTCCTTGGCTGTGTGACCTTGGACCTGCTGCTCCACCTCTCTGAGCTCCACTTGAGAGTGTGGTGGGAAGAGGGGGCTGGAGAGGGCAAGTCTGGGTTGCCCACTTTGCCAGGAACTGGGGAGTGGCGTCTGCAAGGCCAGGACTGGAGAAAGAAGGAGGGAAGGGGAAGGACAACTTGGCTTCCAGGAGCCCCAGTGCCGCAAGGGTTAACAAACCAGGGCTGCCTTAACCTAAAATGGTAATTGCTGCTTCCTGCAGACTCCTGGGTAGGTGCTGGATTCTACCAGCACGTTCCTGAGTCTGGGGGCTGCTACTGATACTAGATCCCACTCCCTGTCCCCTAGCCTGGCACTTCAGTGTCAGGAAGGGGTGCTGGGGTTCAAGGCCCCATGGGAAACAGCCTGGACTTCACTCAGAGCCCCAAAGGTTGGCCTGGCGGGCAGGAGGCCTCCCTGGGCTTCGGAGGAGACTGGAGGACCCAGAGACTGCCACATCCAGGAGGGGAAGTCTGAGTTGGCTTTTTGCCCCTCACAGGCTGAAGCTCATCAAGCTTGGCAGGCCCTGGCCGCCATCCCGGCCTCCTCAACAGAGTGGCAGCTTAAAATGCCTTGGGGACACCGTGGGGTGCTAATGGGGAGCAAGGAGACACAGGGGCTGGGCTTAATTAGGAACCGGACTTAATTAGAAACTGGGCTTCTGTTCCCTACCACCACCGCCACCTTGGCGGCCAGAATATGGGGGGCATATGAGAAGCCTGCCTCCTCAGCCCCTCCCTCCCGCCAGCCTCCTTCAGTCCTCCTTGTCCCCACCTCTCCTAGCCCCACCAGGCCCTGTCTGCCAGGCCGAGATAAGCTCAGGGATGCTGCGCCCCCATCTGGGCAGAGCTGTCAGGGCTCAGTACTCCACCTCCCCTTAAAAGAAGGAAGAGGGTGCAGAAAAGGGCCTATAGGCAGGGGCTACTGTAGTGAAGGAACCTCTCAGCCCAGATGGCTAAGAGCCCGGCTCCCATGTGGCCTCAGGCATGCCCCCACCCTCTCTGGGCCTCCACTTTCTGGAGCCTTCAATGTAAGGTTGCCAGGCCTGGGAGCTCTTCAGGGCCTCAGAGGTCTTGTCAAGTCCTGCAGATTTCTGGTCCCCAGCTTACTGAACCACTCTGGGAGAGGGGGAGCCGGGTTCTGTATGGAAGGGGCTTCCTGGGAGACAATGCTGCCAGTTGGGATGGGGGAAGCGGGCACTAGGAGGTCCCCAAGGCCAATTCCAACTGGAAGCAGCAACTCCAGGAAGCCGACTCACCCAGCCAGGCCAAAGGAGTTTCAGCTTCACTTCCCCAAACTAGCCAAGTTCGCAACAGCTTCTGGGCTTGTGTCATTCCTTCTGTCTGAAATTCTTTTCCCCTCCTGGGCCAACCTGGCTCTCTCCACCTCATGCTTCAAGTGTTAGCTTAGCTGGTACTTCCTGCAATCCTTCAGTGGGTATTTATGGAACATCTACGGCATAGCTTCTCTGGGGAGGCTCACCTTACCCTCCAGCCTGGGTCAGGGGACCCTTCTGTGCTCCCACCCTCCCTTGGCTTCCCCTGTCAAGGTTCCCATCTTGCTGGGTCACCAGAGCCTAGTTGCTGACACTCCTCCCCAGCAGCAAGACTGAACTCACAGAAGAGGACACCCATCTGTTTCTCTCAGCCCCTGTGCCTTGGGGAAGCTCCAGAATTCCTATTTCGGAGACGCTGAGGGTCAGCTGCTTGGTTAGAAAGGCGAGGTGGGCCTGTGGCAGCTGGGACCGCATCTTGAAGCTGAGTTTGCGTAGCAAGCACACTATTTTTATATAGATTGTATGTTAGGATTTTTTTCCCTTTCCTAACAGTTGGGCAATTATCCCAACTGTAAATTATAGCCTTTACTTAGTTTTTCCCTTCTACAAATTAAGCTGTCATGCCATGAGGCTGAGGTGGCTTGGGGGTGGGGTGCTGATGGCCATTCTGAGTGGCTAAAGCCTCTCCCTAGTCACCCCGTAGTGCTAATGCTGCTTGTGTTCCCAGTGGCACAGAGCCCAGCACGGCAGACATTAAATACACGTTGAATAAATTAATGAGAGTTGCGCAGGTGGATATTGGGCAGAGGTGAGCCCAGAGCCCAGGCTTCCTAACTCCCTCCCACAACACCACCCTAAGCACCCACCCACCACCCCTGCTGCCTGAGAGGGTTGCCCTGTATGAAGTTAAAGACAGAGGCAAGCGAGGGACAATGCCATATCATCATAGCCCCTCATCCATCTCAGCTTCACACACCCTCACAGGGCTTGGAGAGA